TCCTTACCTGCCCTTGAGCTCTGGATTTCTTTCACACAGTGTGAATTAGACATGAACAGAAACTCAATTACAAGGCTGAATTTAGTACCAAAATGCTGTGCTGGACATTGTTGAGGACTGCATGAGTGCAATGTTGGACTGCAGAGACAGTATCCAGCATCCAGCAGAATTAAAGCTTCTGTTTTTTACAGGTAGGATGATATCATAAATTGTCTTTTACGTTTCAAGTGTAATTTGCTAAGGTGATTTCTGCATCTGTTATTTTTATTTGCATGTTTGCTTTGGGAGGCCCTCAACCAAAAAAATTTTTATTATTATTAATTGCTTGGGCAGATGGGATTTGCACAATTGGAATGTGAAGTTTCAGAGTTCTTTTTAACACTTGTTCTTTCATATAGGTATAGTTAAGGGTATCACTAGACAACTAAAACCAGATTAATCCCCATGTTGGCATGGTTATTTAAAGCAGAGAGAGGAAAGACGTCTTAATGGTAATAGAGAGGAAAGCAATGCCATTTTTAGTGAGATATTGGATATAAAAGGGAAATGGAAGGATTAGAGTTAACAGTGATATTAGAGAAAGGCTGAAAGGGAAATACAAATATTCTTATGGGGAGACTGAGATATGGTCCAGAAATCTAAGAGAAGTAATTTAAGATGCGAAAGGGGGTAAAGGGGAAGAGTTCAGTGACCACATATGGCTGATTATAAATGTAGAAAATGGATAAAGAGTTTGCTGAAACTCAGTTGAAAGGTCAGCATCTGTCAGGAATGGATACAGTACCCTTACCCAGGAAAAATATCTGAATCTAGATGTTATTTTCATGACAATGTTTTGCTGAGAAGAAAAGGAAATAAATAGTAATATACAATTTTCAGAAATTTCCATAGTGGTTTGCCAATAAGTAGCAATGCTTAATCAAAAGAGAAAAGTATTGTGTTTAAGATTTTTTTTTTTTTTTCTGGAATGTGCTATGTTTTGAAATTCAATACATTCTCAGGTTGAAGTAATGTTCCCTGATTCATAGCTTCAGAGTATAGATAAAATATACATTTTTATAATGATAAATTACTGAAATTTTAAACTGTGCTATTGTACAATTGGTGGCCTCTTAATGCTTGCTACTGCTCAGATTCCACTACAATATTTGGACATGCAAATCTAGATAAAATGAGTCCAGATATGTTATTCTACAAAAATGTTTTGATCTATCCAGAGCTTTTAAGCACTCTAGTGTAATCTAGAGTCTTAAACCTGCATTAAACTGGCCTAAGTTTATTAGTCCTTATTAGTCCTTCATATTAATTACATTAAAAAAAATTAAATACCTGGTCCATTTGATCTTAGTATTTCATCACTCAATCAGAAGGTTGTTCTGTGTTCTTTCCCAGAAGTTTTATCTGAAAGGGGAAAGGAAAAGAGAAAGAGAACAAAAGGAAGCTATTAAATAAATAATGAACTACTATTTTCATTTTTTCAATAAAGTCAAAATCCTTTAACATTAAAAATTATTACTATAACATATTGACTAAATTACAGAAGTTCTGAAAATTCTGAGTTGATCACCTTTAAACTTTTCTACGCGAAGGCAACCTTTGTATCTCCAAATAAGGCAAAATTAAATAATATTTAATACATTTAATAATTTTAATATATATATTCTTAAATTAAATATAAAGTAAATAATATTTAAAATAAAGTATTCTATTCCTCAGGCTAATCTGTTGATGAGCTTACTGGCTGCATAAATTATTCCATTCCTTGATGTGATAGCTAGTTACACTTTCAGAAAATCAGAGGGAGAGATGTTAATATTCAAGGGCATCTGGAGTTGTCACCGAGATCTGAAGACTGAAAATGAGAATATTGAAAGCAATCCTAGCACTAAGCCTTTCAAGATGATATGGTACATATGCGAGATTTCATGCTGGTCTTTCAAATAGAACTAAGAGAACTGATTTACTATCAACATATTCAACGTGAATTAAACAAATGTCAGCAGACTAACAACAGTGATGCTGTAAATAGCATGTCCTTCTGTTGATGCAGGTAGAGAGGGGCTGCTCTGCATAATTGATGGTGTCCATATAGTACGATATTGAAAGAGTACAGAAACTGTTGTAAATTCCCGATGAAATGCAAACATAAGTCTGTTTACTATTAAATGTGTTTTTCTGCAGTTAGACACGTGCGCTCTCTCTCTG